ATAGTTTGGTAAAACTAACCTTTTTTTTGTTCCTCTTTCAAAATAGTGAGTTAGGCATACCACGATATAGTAAAAAAAAAAAACTTCCATTCTTTTTAAAAACAGTGAGTTAATCACGAGCTCACTGTTTTATCACTATTTTCCTACATTTCGCTAATCTAGGATCTTGCTAAATTGTTAATTCCAGAAATGATTTATTATTATCAATATTTTTCAATCTTCCAAGGAGTCAGGGTAAATTCAGCAATAATTTTTCAGAAATTATTTGTAACAGATAAACATGTAACATATTTTAACATTAAATATTTTTTATATATATATATAATTTCTTAAAAGTAAGATTATTTTTTTTTTTTTAAAATAATAAATTGATCGAACTTCACTTGGGTTAACTTAGTATATTTTTCTTTCTGTTTCAAAATAGTGAGTTTACCATAGCTTGGTGGAACTAACCCTTACTTTTTTCAAAATAATCAGTTAAACTTAGCTCGATTTGGTTAAACTGAACTCCGTTGCATCCTCTTTCAAAATGGTGAGTTAATCAAGCCACAATTTAAAGAAACTAAACTATAATTTTCTAAATTTTTCAAAAAAGCTTGTTAATCGGTCTTTGATGTGGCTAAATTATCCCTCTTTCTTTTCTTTTCGAAATGATAAGTTAATTTCCGATTCGGTTAAACTAAGCCTCTTTTCTTACACTTTATAAAAAGTTAATAGTACTATATTTGTTATATTTGGTGAAACCAGCTCTAAGGCTTGGGTTTACTATCACGCTGAATAAATTTACAGATCAGATTTAATTAGAAATCTGCAAGAGACGTCACGCGTGTGCGGCGAACCTTATTGGCTGATCCGCAAGTGATTTCACCAATCCAATTATATAGCATCCCTTGAAAAATGGAATTTTTTCATTAAATACCATTTTTTTAAATTAAATTAAAATATATGTGAATTTTGATTATCAAGATTCGGCCTCGAACAAGAGCTTATCATACCAAATGATATTGAATACATATATTCTTTTTTGTTTATGAGATGTGCAAAAACGCGTTTTGTTGTAACTATTAACGTAAAGTCACTAGAGCAACACGTAATAATAAATGTTTTAAAAAAATATTTAATCTCTATTTATGGAGGTGGTATATGTCCTAAATATTTGGTTAAATTTTCGTAATGCTGTTCAGCACTGATTTATTGCTCATCTATTGTTTATTCTTTGCCCTTTACAAAGAACGTGTATTTGGTAATTATAAAATGAAATAAAATAATGGGAAAATGGAAAAAACCTTTACGTTGCTAAAAAAATTTAGAAAATAATTATATGAAATCAGAGACTTAAAACATTTTATTTTCTTACATTGTAAGAAATCAAATTAACATTTGATTCATGATTCGTATTTGAGTTGATGAATGATTTGAGCGATGAAAATTCAATTATAATAAAATAAGCATGGAAGTTGATTTGCAATGACCAAGAGGAAGACACTTAATTCTTTTAGACACTTTATTTTTTAGCCGAAGCAAAAATTTTGCGAGTAAAAATAACAACGTAGACAAATAAAATTTACACTAGTGACACTTGGTTATAATTTTCGCTATTTTTCTTTCATATTTTCTGCGATAAATCTAGGAAAAAAATCTTGTAATAGTTTTAAGGTGTTCACCTGCCAGCGATGAATGATTTGCTTTTGACAAAGCTCATTGAGGAGTAAGAGTAATAAGAAAGTAGCTCATGTTCCTGAAAAAGGAAGAAAAAATGCGAAAAAAATATTGATATTTTATTTTCATTTTAGGATGGGCTCACGTATCACTAAAAATCCCTCACGCAACGATTGTGGCAGGCCTGCCACGTTTGGCTACCCCTGGGTTAGCTCAACTCCTCCCCCTCTATTAAAAAAAATACTGCGTTAATACCATTTAAGTTAATCCCAAATTGCTCTTTCTCTATGCTATAATGAATTTGCCAGTTTTAAATAGGAAACTTTCAATTACAAGTAATAAATCTAACGGGCAGAAAATTGTTTTGAAACAAAAGAAAAGTGTTTTGCGATGATGAATGATTTGAGGGATGAAAATTCAATTATAATAAAATAAGCAAATAAAATTAAAATATTAAATTTAAAGATATAATTGCATATAAATTGGATATAAATGCAAAGCTATATTGAATTTTTTCTAAATCTACAAGTCTTATAAGATTATTTAAATATTTTAATGCGATAGAAATTTTTCTCCATAATACAAAATACATGTGCGTAAAACGGAATTTTTTTTCAACACGGATTAGTTCTGTTTTAACATGAATTTACTGTGAAAAGAAATTGGAAAAAAAATAAAATTAAGACATGATTAATAATTTTTTTTTTAAAGATGATACTAAGAAGATGTTTTGACAACTTAAAAATATATTATCTTTAATTACACATTTTAAAATTATAATTCAAACATGATTTGATTCATCATTTACTTTATTTTAATATTTTTTTCAAGATCAAGACAATAAAATTTTCCTTAAAAACTAATAATTTTCAGCTAAGAAAGTCAATTATTGAAAATCAGAAAACAGACAAGTTTTTTTTTGTCATAATTATATCTTTACATGCATTGAAGCGATTTTATTTTACTCTTTTCCCCATATATTTGACAACCTGAATTCCATTATAGTCTTGTGACATTTCTACCTGCGACTCCATTATCTTGGCGGCAGTTTGGCGATCAAACACGCGAAACAGACTCGTATCTCTTAACCTTAAATACGCTGGTGCAATGTTTTTATTAAATGCAATTGCATTTTTAATGTTTAAATGAATATGATTTATGGAAATACTCTATTCGTCATCTTTGACTTATTTTAATTAGCAATAAGAATGTGATTTATTTGAATTAGCAACTAGACTTGAATTTCAATCATGATTTTCTTATTTTCTAAAATTATTTTCGTTCTTATTTCACCTGTTCATTTATTGAAAAATTTCTCATCCTAATATTTTTTACTGTGTCATAGGATCAATCTTAATCACAAATTGAATTTGAGTTGTTTAATTGAACGAAAGTTAAAAATTGATTCACTTCTCTAATAGTGTAAAATATTTAATTTAATTAAGAGTTGCTTAAGTTTGGTTACTGCTTAAAAAATCATAAAAAGGAAATAATCAGTATATTTATCAATTACCAAGAAATTGATCATATATATAAAAAATTTAAGATTTTAAATATGTATTTAAGGGGAAACTTCTAATGGCAATAAATATAAATTTATGAGTAGGATAAACTTTAATCTCACTAGACATGATACACAGGTTAGTTTCAATTATCTGAAAACTACTCATATGATTTACAAGTTTTTGAAAGACATCAATCGAATCATAATGTAAATTGGCACATTTTTACTTAACTTTCTTAAAATTGCATTTTTTCTAAAACCTTTTAAAATATTTTTTTCAGATTTGTATGTCAAAGTTTTTTAAGTCGTTGTTGTTGTTGCTTATCCCCTTAGTCTAGAGCCCTAGACCAAGTCCAGAAGATCATGTCGCATTAGCAAGTCATAGACAGTCTCCCCATCACACATCAGTTGCCTCACAGGCAACTGATGTTTATATATTTCTTATGACTGACAATATATATTTTTTATGAAAATATATATAAAAATTTCAAATTTTAGCCTGGCTCAGGGTACTAAAAATTATAGCCTTTCTTCTTTTTCTCCTTTTTTTCCCTGAAGGAGGGGGTTTCACGATAAAAGTAAATTTATTCTGACCTCTTTTTCATCCTGAATGCCTTTATTTTTTATCTTAACAATAAAAAATTTTGCAATTTATTACAATAATTCTTCACAATTAATAGGCATTTAATATAAAGTGATCAAATTATATATATAGCAACCTATTGCTCACTTCAAATTCAATTTATATTGAAAAAATAAAGAAAATTTGATGAAATTTATTTGTATGTAGAATTAATAGCTTTTACAAATAAAGACAGGTTTTTAAATATTTTATATTTTTGAGTACCGAAATGTATATTCATGTCTAGAATTCGTAAGAACTATTTTCATATCAAACACATTTATTTCATTAAATTAAATGTATAGTTTTTGTTCAAGTCTGGAATTTACTAGTACTGAATATTACTTCGATTCTATTTCAGTTTAAAATATTAAATATCCAGTCTTTTGCATTGTTTTGTAGAGTATTTTAAAATCACGTACTATATTTAAAATTTTGGGTAGAGAAAAAAAAATATTACTTGTTATATATCAAACAAGCTCATTATCTTTTAAGTACTAGAAAAAAAGTTATAATTCCTGAACATTACTGTGTCCCACATAGCGTTAAAATACCTAGTTTTGAATTTTAAATACATTAGCTTTGTAATTTCTTTCTCATATATGTTTTCTTTTCACAATTACGTATTTTTTTTAAGTAATCAAAAAACTCAAACCAAAATATATGTTTGTGCTTCCGGATCCCCTTGAAATAAATATTCTTGACTGAAATGCACAATTATAAAAAAATCATTCCCAGCTTATCTTTAAACATTATTTAAATACATTTCTCCACAATATTTGAAATCCATTCATTCACTATATAAAGAATTATGGTAAAACTACTACCACTCAGAATACCGGTTGTTTTTACCGAAAAATCCTTTTTCACCGGAACATGTTTAGGGAGAAAAAAATCTCCCATACCGTAATTTTTACAGTAATAAATACCATAAAATCACTGAATCACTCTAATTAACTAAATATTACTGCAAAATTTTCGTAAGGAAATTTCCCAATGACGCATCCAAAGTTCCGGCGCTTTTTACCATAAAATAATCCGGATTTTTTTTACTTCGCACATAATTTCAAACATATTCAAATTTCAATATTTTTTTCTTAATTCATCTATTATAATTAAAATTGAATCCACATTTTGTCCTAAATCGCACTTTCCCTTGGCGAGTCTTTCGCAGGTAGGATGCAGCCCTGCGGCAACCCTGCTTTTCGGGGTGTTTTGCGAGGGTTTGTGAGGAGCAGCATCGAAAGGAGATCCCTGGGCTCTCCATCCTCTTCTGAATCATTCAAAAAGCATCATGTTGTTAGTTGCAGTAGGTTTTATCCTCATCCTCCTCATCGTTTTCCTCATCGTCATTGTTGTCTACATGCAGACTACCTGATGGGGAAAACTTCGGAAGAAAAGAGTGAAAACGGGAAAAAGTCCAAGAAGGGACCGAGGAGGAGGAAGAGTAAAGTTTGAAGAGTTTGTTGTTTTTTTTTCTCCTCTTGGATACGCCATCAATCTTTTTTCCTCCTTTATTTCACCTCCTTCCTTCTTATCTGTCGCTTTCCGGGATCTTCTTCAAAGTGAAAGCTTCTCCAGGTAAATTACTTAACATTTTATATGCGCATGACACTGATTTATTGTTTGAGAAATTGAATGTTCATTACGATGATCTTAAAAAAAATGTTACGTAATCTATGATGACATTTAAATATAAATGTTATTTTTATTGGTTGATTTATTGTTCGAAAAATTGAATGTTCGTTACGATGATCTTAAAAAAATGTTACGTAATCAATGATGACATTTAAATATAAATGTTATTTTTATTGGTTTAATTTATGGTTTTGAATTTAATGTTGCTTGTCTAAGAAGTTCACATATTATTTTATGAATAGCCAAAGCCCATTTTTAACATTTTAATTCAAAATTATTACTATAATTAGGAATGTGTTTTTTTTTTGTTGATACAAATGCACACATGTGAAAACAATTTTGTGGTAGTTATATTCGATCAAATTTTAATAGGTTATTCTAAAATATTACACTATGAAACTGAAAGTATATGATTACAGTAAAATTTATGTATGGTGCAAATGTGTAAAACAATTTAGTATAATTGTCATGAATATGTATGAAAGAAAAAATAAAATGTGCTTACAAGTAGTATGTCATTTAAGTATAAATTTAATTTTTAAGTATAAATTTAATTAAATTAATATATTACGAGATGCGTATTTGAGAAAATACTTACAAATAATTTTTCAATGTTCACCTTAAGAAATTTAAAATTATATTAGTTAAAATTCATATAATATATTATTATTATTATTAAGAAAAATATAACATAAATAAGTATATGAATTACAAATATATGTTAAATTTGTTTATCATATTCTGTAAAATATTTTGGCTGCGCATCGACTTATTTCTTAAGATATAATAAGACTGACTTTTTCACTTCAGAAAGCAACATTCTTGGGAAAAAAATTTCGTGGTTATATACATATATGTATGTGATAATAATCGATAGCCATGAAATAAAACAAAACTCATAAAAAATGCTCCTTGATTCAATAAATAAATTAGTATTAATGAATAAATTAGTACCATTTAGAAAAAAAATTTGTACATAAAGGTCTTTTGAAATTTATAAAAAATTAGAATAAAATCACTTTTATGTTCATTAGTCGTGTTTTTTTAGAAAATATATAAAAATGAAATAAATAAAAAAAAGTGTTAAAAGTTCAAAGATGTTAAGTGACATTTCAGCGAATTTATGAAACGCGAGTTTAATAAAATAAGAAATAACAAATTTTCCTTTTGCCAAAGCAGCTTTTACTATAAAATATAAATTGATTCTTTTAAGGACACTGTAAAAAATTACTGAACAAATAGATTATTCAAATTAAATGCATCAGCTTATTACCTGTTTTTATGCTTAAAAAGTCTCCAATGCTCGTCTGAAACTATTATGTAACTTATACTTGATTCATGATTTTCGCCTATATATTCATGTTGATCTCTTCGAACGAGATGTTTTCTTCAGCCACAGTTTTAAGCATGGAAAAATTAAAATTTTACAGAGCAACAAGTGCTTTACAGTATAATGAACAGTATAATAACCAAACCGTAAATTCAAATTCAAATCATGAGTTTAAGCAAATTGCACTTCTTTTAAGAGAAGAGCACATTTAAAATCTGACCATACTATAGGTTATTATAGGCTTCATTTTGGGAGTAAGTGAGATAAAACAACTGGTTGACATACGGAAACCATGCCTTCAAATACCAATAGGTTAAACATAACTTAATCAATAAGTTAAGCCATAATATACTACAGATATTCTTCAACCTTAATAAAGTATTAAATTAAATAGGGTTTTTGCCAATTTTAACGGTCGTGTAGTGTAATCAAATTTAAGATGCACAATGACATGAACTTACAATTAGCACCAAAAAAAGGTTGAATCAAACTTAATGATATTCTGGTCTAAAACGCTCCAAATGTTAAATAGCGTGTTTGTTGTAGGCTGATTGGTGGTAGGCTCTTTATGAACTGCTGACGTCATTTGTTAGGCTTATTGCAGTGAGCATTTCAAAGAGATATCAGCAGTTTGCCAAGATCCAGAATTTTCAATTAGCCAGTGGCATACATGGTAGGAAATTTCGATTTAATTACGATAAAAAGTACCGGCACTCAGGGAGACAGTACGTTTAACCATAAATTCCATTTTTACCGGAACATATTACGGAACAAAAATTCTGATATACCATATGTTTTATAGTAATAATTATCGGAAAATCACTTCAATTAAATAAATATTATTGTAAAAACTACGGTATATTTTAAGGTTAAAATAGATTTTATAGTGAAACGGATTTCGCAATGATGCACTCAAAGTGTAATATGATCCAATATCGTAATTTGATTCAAAATTCCAAAAGTAACAAATATATTTGTTTTTTTTCTTATTTGTATTCCATTATTTAAGTATTAACACAGAAACATTTAACTTATTTTTATTAAAACCTGTGACTGTTTCATTTTTTAGTTAAATATTCAAAAACATCACCTAAAAAAACATAAATTACAAAAATTTATTCAGCTTAATCAAGTAAAAAATTACGTGAAATACGGTACAAATTTTCCATGATTTGTGGAAATAAAGTCGTATCGAGTTAAAATTAAACCTTAAGATTTTCCGAAAAGCATTTTATGAAATCTTTCTTTATATGTGATTTTTCTGTCACAAAGTATAAAATTTAAAGCAGCAATTTAAAAAATAATGAAGTAAAAGTTCTTTTGAAAAAGAAAGTGATCATATTTTGTAACAAAAGTGTCTACAATGTTTTGAAATCAGTTGTAACTAAATTTAAATGCATTGTTTGAAATATTTACTGCATATTTTAAAGATTGATGCTTTAAACAGTTAAGGAAAAGGATTTATGTTATCACAATTCACCTGATGAAAAATTCATGACTGGAAATGGAAATCTTGATAAATACGCTTGCATAAAATTTTCTTCCATGAAGTAAATTAATTCTTGTATTTGGAAAGAAGAATTTGTATGGAAATAACGCTAGAAAAATTTTAAAAGCTATTTTTCGTTCTATTCAAAACCTCGAAAATAAAATATCATTGTTTTATTAATCTAAATTAGGTTTTGAATACACAATTGTATCTATAAAAGTGTAAATGGCAATGGAGTTTAAACGCACTATGCTTTCACATCGATTGGTGTAACTGAGTATATAAAATTATGTTTTAAACCCATCTTATTTTGTTGCAAAATAAACATAGACCAGAGTAAGTTTCTTTGAAAATCTCCATTTTCCAAAAACATTTTTCTTTGGCTCGAAAGATCTCTACCAAGAAATTTAAACAATAAATAAACTACTTGCCTACCAACAAAGTTGAGAATATGCAAATTTTGACTGTGGCATCAAAAACATTGTGCATTAAGAAAAAGAGTAGAAAGTGACCTACAATATCCCTTCTGTAGAAGTAGATTAAAAAACAAATGGATATGCATTAAATACTTTGTGCCAACGAGTACAATGTCTCGAAAAAATTAACTGAATCAGTAACCTGGAACGATAGTGGTCTTGCAAATTGCCCAAATTATTAAATAGAACATAACGAGAACTATTAAAAGTTCTCTAACTCATTTTGGTTTTGTTGCTATTGGATGTATTAGAAGCTTTTAGAAATCAAATTGTTTAAGAAAAGTATATTAGCAGTTATAATTTTAATATAAGTGTTGGGTCTCTTGTATATGGCGTTGGGAAGATAATATTTATTCAAAAGACTTATTAAATCATTTAAAAAAAATATTTACATTTTCTACGAGTTCCAATGCTTAAATTTTAAGTAAAGAACATTTTATACAATGATATTGAAAAATGATAAGTTTTGTAATAAAATGATCTATTGACAGTTTGGACAGATTATCAGAGATGTAATCTAATAAAATAATAATTAGTGGGGACATTATCCAGCAGTGACAAAATCTATAGGGAGTATAATTTCATGAAGGCAAACTTTTGCATAGACAAAATCTCAAGCACTGTAAAAAAATTACGCATCATATTACGGTATGAAGTACCGGCACTTTGGGTGCTTCATCCGAAATATCCATGTTACCGTAAAATTATTTTTTGCTACAAAATATTCTACCGTAAATTTTACAGTAATATTTATTTTACTTGAGTGATTCCGTGATTTACAGTACACTGTTTCATTATTCATAGAAGTTAGATTGCAAGAGTTGAGGAAAAATTTTTGATCAAATTATGGTTTAAATTATCGGCACTATATCAGTGTAACATCCGTAAAATCCCTTTTTACAGCAAGTGATTCAGTGATTTCGTGGTAATTATCTGATATGCCATAATTTTTACAGTAAGAATAAATACCATAAAATCGCTAAATCACTCTGATCAAATATATTTTTTTTGTAATCGTCGTTGAACCGCCGACTCAATGTCTTTGGTTTACGACTACTAATATTCAACTTTGTATCCTAGTGATGTTGAAACCAATCCAGAAAACAAGGGAACCCTTGGATTAAGCATTGGGAGAAAATTGCCTTCGTGGAACCCATCAAAAAGTTTTTGATGGGTTTTCCTATCCATGTGAGGCAAATGCATCGGTCTTTGTTTTACATGCAGGTAAGAGCCATGAAAACCTCCCACTGTTAGCTTGACGGCAAGGGAACTCTATCCCTATGATCCGTCTATGACTGAGGATATTTTTTACGTCAGCACTGTGGTCGGTATGAGACGGGTACGGAATTCGTATCCATCACTTGGATTCAAACGCGGTTCACCTCATAGTAAGTCGAACGCTCTATCCCCTGAGCCACCACGGCTCATAAGTAATAACTAAATATTACTGTAAAGATTGCGGTAAATCAAATTTTTTGTTCCATAACATTTTCCAGTAAAAATTGATATTACGTTAAAAGGTACCGGCATGCTGTACCCGTACTTTTGTAGCACTTGCAAAATAGTCCCTACGCGAAATAGTGCATTAGCTTGCACAGTTTTGATATTTGACCGGCAAGATAGTACGTTTCTGTTATTTTTCTATTCA